GGTACCTGGTGGAGATCTGCCAGCAGCATCTTCAAGGCCTGCATCTGCCCGTAGCAGAGGTAGCTGTGGGTGTAGAGCGAGTAGTTGGTGCCGTACAGCCTCAAGAAAACAGAGGTGTTCTTGTCCTCAATGGTGACTCCAGGCTGGAAGGTTATTTGTGTCGAGGCACCTCCAAGGTCCAGAGCTCCGATAACCTCGGTGTCCTGTGGGTGTTCCCATTTCTCTGCAAAGGAAAACTGGCCCAATAAGACAGCAAGTGTTAGTCTAAACTGGAGGGAGTCACAGACCCTGTCCCTTCCCTCAAGGTTCTGTGGGCTCAGAAGCCCCTGAGAGACTGCCACGTCCCATCTCCCTGCTTAACCCCTTCCTGCCTATGTCCTCCTTGACCCACATAGACCTCCATGTAGCACTGAGGTCTGGCTCCTTAGTACATCAGCTGGGATCCAGAGACTTTGAGGAGGGGAAGAGGAACACTTTCATCTGGGGTGCTGCATCCCTGTGATACCGGAATCGACCCATATGTAAGTGGAGAGAGCACAGGGCCAGGCTGAGCTGGACACAAAGACCCTTGATGCTGTTAATGACATCAGTGGACTTGAGTCTGCAGTTCACAACAACAGGCTACTTTTATTTGCTTGACTAGTGCCCTAAAATGACATTTGTCCCTCCTCTGGGAATAAAGAAACCTGGCTGCAACTCACACAGGGACATGTACACGGCTCACCCCCACTGCCCGCTCCCCCAGCCCGCACCTCGACCAGGGTCTCCAGCAGGTAGTTGACGGTGATCCAGCCGAAGGAGCCCTCCTCGTTCCCCGTCAGGATCTGAGCTCCGCGGAAGTCCACAGGGTACTCGCCAATGGTCCTGGCGACCTCGGCAAAGACCTGCTCGGCCTTGGTGCTGTTCTGCTCCCTGCCCGGGGAAGGAGATCATTGCCACATGGTGCAGGAGGCGACGGCTGGGCAGCTTTCGGAGCAGGGCTAACAGCAAGAGGCTGCCTTCCCCGCCAAGGCGCGGGGCTGCTCAGCGCCAGGGCACATCCCCATCCGTCGCTGCCCTGCCTGCGGGCTGGCTCCTGCAAGCTGCCAGATCCCTCCATCGCTGCTGCTGCCGGGCGGGGGGTTCCCTGTGGGCACGGCGAGCGGCTCTCCTGGACACCCCGGCCGAGTGCCAACAGGGATGCTGTGCCCATCACCATGGCCTGCCCGGGGGCAGTCCCCCGTGCCCCCAGCCCCCATGACCCCAGGCCACCGCAGCAGCCACTCTGCAGAGACGCGGGGTGGGGAACGGGTTGGGGGTGGTCAGCCCCGGGTAGTGAC